GCAGGAGGATGGCGGTGGGATTGTCCCCGTTCGAGCTGCTTTATGGGGTGTTGCCCAGGATGGCGCCTGGAGACCAAGAGTCTCTCTTCGGAGTCTCCGAGATCCGCCACCGGCAAATGGAACTCCTGCAATCCAGGGCGATGCGGGCAACAAGAATAATCGGGCGCAGAGCTGCAACCACATTAACAGACGGTCGCGACGCAACTTTCAATGTGGGCGACGAAGTGTTGGTCGCAAAAGGGGCTGCCCTCGGGCCCATGCAGAAATGGCCTATCGCCTTGTCGAAGTTCTATGGCCCATGCCGAGTTGCTCGTGCGCGCCATCCGCGGTACACCCTAGTGTCGCCGCATCAACGCTACTCGAGAAGGGAGATACATGCCAGAAGGCTGGTCCTCTACAGGAGGCAACCGTTGCACCTTCAGTGAGGCAAATGACTAGGGATTTTTACGCTTTGAATTGAAAGATAGTGAAATGCATATGAAGTGCTGATTGCTTGCTACAAGTACATAGAGAGTGGGTCATGGAGACAATGGGAATCACCAATGACCTGTAATGCTGAATGGAACTTCCCGAACCCCGAATCGCGGCTTTCTTGTGCGCTCTGCGGCTGCTTGCGCGTCCAATTCTGCTCCGTTTCTTCTTGGAAGGGGTAACGACGAGAACTTGGCGCAGTTCGAAGACGCCAACGAAAATCCCGTCGGCTCCAACGCATGCTTTGACCGCGCCGGCGCAGAGCCGAAGCGGAAACGCCTCCATACAATCAAGTACAATGGAATGTATGGTCGAGACGCAGATGCTGTGCATTATGTGGGGCAAGCCTTCTAAAGTCGCGACATAGACACCCGGGTCGCGTCTCAAGAGGAGTCCGAGAGATGGACTACGAAGACCCGACCCGCGGAGAGCGACTTCATCTTGATTAATGTGTTTTCCAGCGTCATGGAAATCTCGGATTCGACGCGACGGAGAGCCGGTCCTCTCAAAGAGGAGGCTGTTGCGGACTAAAAGATCCCAGTACTTGACGGCAAGGTTCGGGGACCCTAGTAGATGGAGCCCGTCTTGGAAACCTTGGTTACATCTGTTCGAGATGAGAGCTCGAACATTAAGTGGTCGCGGCTGGCGAAGCGCGCAGCTTTCAGAGCGAGCTGCTTCCGCGGGCGCTTACCTCCCGTGCTCTTTGCCGCTGTCTTCTTGGTCCTCGCCATCGTATTACGTTATGAGGGGGGCCAAAGAGGGCACACAGGGACTGAAACCCCACCTGCGTGCCTCTCGATTTGGCGGGAAGCAGGAGGTCTAAGCTACGACGAGGACCACGGAGGCAACGAGGAAAAGCGGCGAGAGCTAAGCAGCGCAGGAAGCAGGAGCCCGAAAGAGCTAAACCGAAGCTGGGGTGGAGCGAGAAAGGCGAACGGAGAGCGACGGCAGATACTACAGGAAGGAAGGGGGGTCCGAGCCCCAGGTCTGTGTTGATATAGGCTGGAGGGTGAAAAAAAATCAAAATCAAAATCAAAGGCAAAATTTGAGTGGCCGGGGCCCGTGGCCCCGCCTAAGGGGGGGGGGGTTGTGTGACACGTGGTTGGGACCGGTGTAAGTAATTGGAAGTTTAAGGTAGTAATTGTAGACCGCGCGCTAAAAGAGTATAAATGCGGTGGTTTTCGGTCGTCCTGTACGGCCGAGGGGAGGGACACATCACAAAAAAAACACACACGGGTAAGACACATAGGAGTTATCACCCGGCTACGAGGTGTGATAACGCATTTATCATCCGGACCTGGCATTTAATACGGATATCTCCTCATCATATTGAAATCCAGAATTAAAATACATCTGCTGGGCCATGGTTTTGATTGCAAAACTCATTGAATCAATACGTGTCCTTCCCCCTTCGTCGCCGTTGCCGCCGTCGCCGTCATCGCCGTCGCTACACTCTACACACTACGTGTCATTCCCCCTCCGTCGCCGGCGCCGCCGTCGCCGTCATCGCCGTCGCCACACTCTACTGCACGACCAATTCTATGCGTTCGCGAATTAGTCACACACCCCTGCACAATGGGACCATCCTCGGTTCCGGGCACACCGCCGCCTCACACTCTGCAACCTCTCTTCCCCATCGAGAAAAACACGATTATTCCCGAATCACCCCCAACGCAATGTAATTAACCTGTCCCTGCCCACGGGGAGCAAAACCCGCGCTCATCCCTTTCGCCGTCTCCAGAAGCAGCGGCGTTCATGGGGATAAGAGTCCCCACGAACACAAAACGCCAAAATCAGTCTTCTCTCAGAGCATTCGCCAGGTTCGTGACGGGTGTTCCTGGTTTCGTGGATGACTTTTTTCACGCAGAGCCGCACATGCGCTCGTTGGTGTTCAGTGAACCGGGTCGTTTGGTTGAGTGGCAGATGGAACAAACAAGATGCCACGTATTTCCGGATGAGGAAGGGCGTACCTTTCTGCCCCCTGGCTTTTCAAGTTGGACTTCCACCCAGTTGGAGCGTATTCGATATTTTTTAATCGAGTTTGTTGTGAACTACCGCACGGCAAAGACAAATAGCGAAGTCAAACCTTCTTCTATGAAAAGCTACCTTCTCGGAATACAGCGGGGATTTAGTGCTATTTGGGGATACAAGCTCAAAATTTTGGAGGGGCCTGTTTTCAACAGCCCACAGGAGGGTCTTACGGCAGTTATTGATAACAAGTTCAGCCTGCAGCAGGCCAATGGTGTGTTCACTGAAAGCCACAATGTTCTATCGAAGGAAGATTTGCTGATATTGTATGGCTCACCACTGCTTTCTCGTGACACACCGAAATCATTTCAAGCGCGACTGATGTTTGATGTCGCCCTTATCACGGCGATGCGCCCTACCGCTTTGGTTAATTTGACCGTATCCCAGTTTCGGAATATTACTCTTCGCGGCGAGAATGTTTTGCGTATTCGAGAGGCCGTCGGGAGTCGCTCCGGGGCCTCAAAGACTCGGGCAGGAGGGTGGAAGGATGCCAGTGTGAAACCATTAGAGGTTACAGTATGGAATCGTTCCTCCCTTGGAGGCCTTCTAAATGTCTATCGGGACATAGACGACTATTTAAAGATTCGTGAAGATATGGGCTTGGAGAGCGATCGATTTTTTCTGGGGTACAATGCGAAGGGAACTGGGTTGTCTAGCTACTTCAAGAAGCAGCACCTTGGCAGAAATAATTTTTCTAAGATTGTCAAAACTGTGTGCGCATCACTAGGAATTTCTGGTACAGGCGTGAAGCATGGTATGACAACACATGGTCTGAGGGGTACTGTAACAACGCTTTTGGTAGAGTCTGGCCATTCAGACTCTCTATTGCCATGCGTACAGGACACCGTGGCCCCCGCTCCTTGAAGAATTATCAAAATCTTCAGGGCCGGGAGGGAGAGAAATAGCAAGAGGATATTTTAGGTGTAGATGATAAAAGTGTAAAACGACATGGGATTGCAGGGACGGGTGGGGATGGAGACAAGGTCGGGGAAGATGCTACAGGTGGCTTGAGCGAACGGTGTACAAAGGCACCTAAGGTAGCGCCATCTAATGGGCAGGGGGCCGTTAAAGATGAGGGCATTGAGAATGACCCTCCAAAGTGGGAGGCATCAAATGGGGCGGCCTGTGTCGGTGGGAATGGAGAGGGACATGATCGAGTGAACGGTGCAGGCGGGCTTCTGACCGGTATCAAAAGCATTTCGGGCGGTCAGTTCACTATTAATGTGACCCATCATTATCGCTAGAGAATAAAGAAAGAAGGGCTCGTTTTGACACTGTTTGCCGTTCATGTAGTCTGATATTGTATATCACCGTCTTGTGCGCCAGGCGATATCATATATCTCCGTCTTGTGCCGGATGCGATATCACTTATCACGGTCTTGTGCAAGATACAGGCAGAGCAGTGCATAATACTGGGCTCTGCAGTGCCTAATATTTGTGCTTGCTTCTTTCATTCTATTTTATATTGTTGCCTTTATGCTCCCCGGATTCAGATATTTCAATCAATTCCACTTTACCCGGTTGATAGGGGACGACGTACCCCGTTTTCACCCCAACAGTGTGCCTCTTTTGGGGCACACAGTAGAGTAGACAATAGGGTCGTGTTCCATATTTGGGGGACCCCCCTTTAGAAGCAAAATAATCATGTGAGCAAAGAGTAGCTAAAAAGAAATAACATTTACAGAATTTTCATTTTGTTTGATTTGGACGGATAGACACAAGACGAACAAACAACACTTCACAGTTCCCATCTATGCTTTAATTTTTGATCCTTTTAATAGGGCCAAAGTTGTAGTAAGGTTTCAAATTTCGCCAGGGAATAGTAGGCGGTAATTGGAAGGGTGAGCTGTAACTGGTGCATATCACTTGTAGAGCGAGCACTTTGCAGATCGGAGCTCAGACTTTGTCGTTGCGCCATTTGCCCGCAAGCGATCCGTGCTCGCCTGAACGTTTGTCCCTTGCGCTTTCCCCCAGAATGGCCTTTATAACAGCCCTCCCCTCCGCCATCCGTTCTGCCACAGCCCGCCTCACCCCGCGTTGCAGCGCCCCACCCCCCACAACTTCTCGCCGCTCCTTCCTTGCAGCCACCACCGCAGCCGCAGCCGGTTTTGCCTTCCTTACTCCAAAAATGGCGTCAGCGGAACCTCGCGTCAACACCGAGGACATCACCGTGGGAACCGGCGCAACTTTCACATCAAATGATAACGTCCACTTGCACTACACACTCACCCTAGGTGGCTTTGAGGAGCAAGGGGGGAAGGTCGTTGACTCTTCCCGGACAAGGGGTAAAACCTTCAGGTACGTAGCCTTCCTTGCGCCCTTATCCGTTTCGGCATACTGTTTGTTTCTCGAGTACTCACCTTTTCCTTTCATATTTCTTTGCTTGGTTTGTGATCGCGATAGTTATAAGTACGATACTGGCGCCGTGATCAAGGGCTGGGATATGGGCGTTACTGGCATGCGTGTTGGAGGGCATCGTCGCTTAGTCATTCCGTCGGAGCTTGGGTATGGTGCCAGGGGAGCTGGTGGCGCTATTCCGCCGAATTCAACCTTATATTTTGATATCGAGCTTGTCAGGGTAGGATACTGAACATGGGAGCGGTGTAGCAATATTGCCTCTCAGATTAGCTCGCTACTCAACGTACGCAGTCACCAAAGAAAGCCAATAATTCTACAAACTTTCTCACTCTTCTTAGGCGCGAGATGCGCACCCAAACCGGCAACTGAGAAGTGCCACGCCTTAGACTCTCGACGGCGGGCATTCCGTATCATATCTTTGTTCTGCCACGAATGTGCCTTCCCAGATGTGAACACAGTACAGTCTAGACGTGTTTGAACGTAGCTACCCCCTCCCATCTAGTCTTCACGAGAGTCGCAGGGTTCCACAGTGCAGCCCTTCCATCCAATCGTGATGGTCGCTAATGCAAGAATCGTGGGTTAATCCAGAGATTGGGCATCGCCGCTGATGGAGAAAAGGAAGCACATCTTCTTCAGGGCTGTTGATATATTCAATTGTTATGTCTTCATCTTCTCCCATCTGATGCGATCCATACGAGAAATAGGATCACAACAAAACTACCGACTTACTCTACGGTATCGCGCAAAGCTAATCTACCCTCATCACAAGCACGCCGCCTACCGAAAATGAGGCCGAGTATCCATGCTTACTCCCACGCTGCTGATATCAGGGAAGGCATCCAGGTCCAGCATCTCGATCATTTTGTCCAAGTCCCCGCTGCTCGTAAGACCAGCAGGCACCGAGTACGTCCGGACGATAGTCATCGCCGGGGCGTTCTTGGAAGGCCCATGTGCACGATCGTCCGAAAACCCGATCGTGCTTGTGGTTAGCAACCCCTCTTGCCATTTGTCATCAGAGACGGCCAGTTCGGCAAGCTCTTGTTCTACGTCATCCTCTTGCAGGTATGCGGGGACTGAGTACTGTCGCTGTGCTTTGATTTGTTCTAGCCGGTGCTGAGACGGAGCCCTCTGCGACGGCCTGCGGAGCGGTTTTTTCTGTGGCAATGGTTGTCGGACGACGTTTTGCGTCTTCACCGCATCTGCTTCAGTCCACGTTGCCTCTGTAGTCGCATTCTGCCGCAACGTCCCGTGCTCATTAATTACGAAATCGGGAGGGAGCATCATGGATTCCACTTTTGTGAATGCGCGGTCTGGGTCCGGAATGTCCTCTAATGAGAGCGAAGACTCAATCGATGAAGGATACGACCTGGTATTCGTACCGGTAATCGTGCTTGTCACAGTCCTGCTCATGAATTCCGAATCTGGATACACCGACGAACTCCACTTTCTTTCGCTCTCATCTTCATCTTAATCGTCATCCACACGCACCACATCACTGTCACTATCCACACTGAGTCCTGCTTCAGTCCCCAGCAATGAGTCATTCCTGGCTCGGGGGAGCATGTCTGACGATTCTCCGTCTTCCATATGAGTACAAAGGTCTAGTCCTGACTCAGACGTATCTCCAAAGGCACAATACATGGCCTCTAGCTCACTCGCAACTTGCTCCGCGCTTGGCCGCAGGGCCGGGTCCTGGTGCCAGCACCTTTCGACCAAATCAATGTACCCCTGCGATAAATGTGAGACATTTTCTGGCCACTCCGGGCGTCTCCCTTCCCTCCCGACAAGTCTGATGAGCTGCAGGGCTCTGAGGCCCGGCCATGGAGTCTGGAGCGTGGCGAGCTCCCACAAGACGATACCGAGGGCGTATATGTCGGCGCGCTTGGGCGCGTCAGGATCGTCTGTGGGTAGGCCCGCAAATGCCTCTGGGGCTAGGTAGGCAAAAGTGCCCGCCGGCCCATGCTGGGCTGGAATTTGGGTTGCGTTGGGGTTGGAAGCGACGTCACACGGATCGACCAGGTGCTTGAGGTTACGGGAGAGGCCAAAGTCGCAGAGTTTGGCGCGCACATTTGTCGGGAAGCGGCCAGTGTGAAGGTTCGGAGTTGCAGAGAGGAGGATGTTGAGGGTCTTGAGGTCACCGAAGGAGAAAGCAGAGGCGTGCAAATAGGCGAGTCCGTTTGTGACTTGGCGGGAGAGTCGGAGGCAGTCCTGTGGCGGAAGGGCTCTGAAGCCGGCTTGTTTGAGGTAGGAGAGGGCGGAAAACAGCGAGCCTCCTTCCATGAGCTCAGTCATGAGTTGAAGGCGTGGGCCGTCGGAAACGACGCCGAAGAACTGGACGATGCAGGGGTGGCGCAAGCACTGGAAGCGGGCGGTTTCGCGGCGGAAGTGGACGGCAGCGGGGCGCGTTCGGGACGAAGGGGAGGTGGGGGGTAGGGTGCAGACTTTGACGGCGACCGGACAGCCATCGTAGGTGCCGCGGAAGACCGAGCCGAAGGAGCCGCGGCCGAGGGCGTTCTGGCTGACGCGGACGCTGGAGGCGCGGACGCCGGGGGAGGAGAGAGTTGCGGCGAGGAGGGGGGACATCTGGGGGGGAGTAGAAGGGGAAGGGGGAAGGCGAGGGGGAGTGGGGAGGGGGGCTGTTGCGGTTGGCGCGATAGAGGTCGTCGACGGGGCAGGCCGGAACATGTTTTGGGAGGGGGATTGTATATACTGCTTTACATATTTATGTTTGCGGGAGAGCGAATACAGCAATGGGCTCCGCACGGGGTGTGCGGTCGTTGTGCAAGCGACGGGTGGGAGTAGGACGTGACGCCCTCTGGTGAGGAGTGTTGTTTTTGGGGTTATTTTTCGGAGGCGGCGTGGATGGATCTGGTCACGCGGTTTACAGCAATGGGACGCACTGCTTCCGGGAATGCTTGTTAGTGATTGCAGTGCCATTTTCCCAAGGACCAAGCATCAAGGGTGCCGCTCTGCTACATTAAGCGCAGCTGTGGAAGAACGCCTCTCGAGCCCGCTACGTCACAACTGGCTGTAGTAAATTACCCTTAGTACAGTCGTGTCGTTTTCACATGCGAAGGAGACTTGCGATTGAAGCAAGAACCTACTGTGGTACTGTACCCAAGGGTACTGCGCCGAAGCGCCAGCTAGACTAGAGTACAGGTAGGGTCGAGTATTCTTGACAGCCTTTCGACGAGACGTCGACAGGCTCCTTGACCCGTGTATACGTGTACACGTGAAGTCCTCAATTTATTCGAATTTCTGCTTTTCCTATAACATGCACACATACAGTACCAAGGGTAAAGTCATATAGCAACTGTGTCTCTATACAGCGTCAGCAACTTATTCTGTACACGTACACATGTCTTACAACCTCGAAGGCTGCGTGACGCCGGTCGCGCGAGGGAGTACAGCACTGAAGAGCGTGACCTGCCAGTCCTCTTGCAGTCCCTTGCAGTCCATATGCGCCCCATTTGCGACAAAGGTGCGAGAAAAGGAGCCCTTGCTGGCGCGGGATGTGCCTAGCTGACGCCGCCTGCTGCCCGCTCCCCAGCAGCTAGCTAGATATCCCTCCACTCACGCCGTACCATGTGGGCAGCGCCCCCGTCTTGTTTCCGCCCGTGGCAAAAACCCTTTTCGAGCCCTCTTCTTGACGTCAGAGGCTCCGCTCCCCGCCAATACCCCTTCGCACTGTGCCCGTCCGCACGCCCGGTGCCGCCAACTCAAGGGCCTGTCTTCCGCCTTGCGCGCGTCACCCCCATGGTTGTGCTAGCACTCCATACTGGGCGTTGGGGCTTCTGCCCAAGCCCAGCGCCGACGCTGGCACACCCCCCAATGGCCATGTTATATAATACTTTTTGTGTGACGCTCTTCATGACGTGTGGGCCAAGCTTACAGCCATTCTCGGCTCTGGAAAAGAACACCAGCTCCCTTCTTGTCCCTGCGAAATCTGTCACCTCTGCCAGGAATTTCGCACCCTATCGTTCTTGTATAGCTGTCAGACGGGCCTTACAAATACTGGTCCATGCACACGGGTACTTTCTGTCCGCCATCCTTTTCGAGCTCATGAGTTGCAAATGATACAATCCCATTTTGTTCCAATCCTACCCTTCGGAGGGTACTCCTCCGCACGTGCGCTTTGCCCTTCCCCTTCTCTTCCCACTTGAACATCCGTGCTCTCGGAGAAGGTCAAATATATACTCGAGTCGCAACATAGTTATTATGTTCCGGGGACACCAGAGCTACACCTCGCTTATCTGTACACGTGGTCGGAAGCTCACGAGTACTGTACTGCAACTTTGCTTCGGCGAGCAGACAGCGATGTGCATACATTGCTGTATAGATGGACGTGGCGCTGCAACTGTGGCTATCCAATTGCAATAGCCCTGTTCTGATTTGGGGAAACAATGCCTTTCAACAGGCTCCCCATCTCCGTGCAGGCAGCAGAGTCCTTGACTTTGACGGGTACTTTGACACCCTCAGGGTGTGTCTCAACAGGCTGGTTTTTGTTTGCCTTGCCCGGTTTTGCCAGGAATACTTTTAAATTCTTAACAAATACAGTACCCAGGGGGTACCGTATGTTTCGTAAGCCCTTGCTTTTCTTAAACTCAAAATTAAAACGTAAGAGCCAATCATAGCACGCCAAATCACCTCTCTGGGCAAAGCAAAGCAAACTGCAGAAAAACGGGGCATGTTAAGACACCCTCAGGGTGATCTTCCCATAGAACGCATTGCTTTGGCATTTGCTATCATACAGTATTTGAGCCACATGCAAGCATGAGAGGGTCAAAAGCGTTCCCGCCACAGCACTCTATCAACCTGCTTAACGGGTTTCACCTCATCTCAGCCTGCCTGAAATTACAATTAAAATGAATTAAAAAGGTGCGCTTATACATAAAGCCCCCATAGAATGACTGTATTTCCACATCGCACTGGAACCCATTACCGACAAATATCATGCCGAAAAGCGAGAGAGGAAGCGGGAGATGACCGCAGTTTCACCAGAAACACAAACACTCCCCTCCCCAGTCACCAATACAATAAAAGAAAAATAACAATAACTTGTGATTTTCTTTTCGTCGTAACTCGTGTGCCACTGCCAGCGACAGATGCCCGCACATTTACGCCTAATCTGGTTCTGCTTACTACCTTCTGTAGTTTACCGGAGATGACCGAAAAATGCTTCTGTCTATCGTGAACTGTCGAAACAACATGACTATGGCTTTTATATCGTACACTGCGAATACTATAGTCTTGCTTTCATATATGCATGAGCAAACAAGCAATACTGTACATGTCGTGGCATTTGACACAACGACGCTGCCATGCCTGGAAAGATAACCCTTGCCGAGAGCCGTCCCATGTCAACACTATAGCATTGGTTTGCAAAAGCTATTACGCTGAAATTCAAATCCCCTCGCTTCACAAATCCGTACACCCTAGCGCTTTCCTTATTGCCCACGGCGGTCGTTTTGTTTCTACTCATTTTCTCTCCAACTGCAGAAAAAGGCGCAATCGACTCGACGTATGTAGTTAGCTCTCCATTGGTCGCGCCTCTACACGGCTACGAGTGCAAGTAACAAGAATTCATTTTGCCCTCCAACCGCCAATTGTTTCCTACCATGACGGCCAAGCTGGAAAACGGAACACGAGACTGATGTAAAGCTGGAATTCAAAAACCTTGAATTCAGTTTTTGTTATTTTTAGGCTGCTCTCCGTTCTTCCGAAGGCACATCATTATGCAACCTTCGATTCACAGATCACGTCCTGCAGAGTGTGTGGAGCCTCTTGACTCCAAAAAGCAGAACATCTCCCCGAAACGCGATACTGTTCCTATGAATGTACTTTTCCTAGCTCATGGAGGCCAAGTCGTGTTCAATTCTTCCACACGGATGGATTTGAGCCACGTCCCACGTCCTGCCTGCCTTATTTACCCGTTCCATTCATGGACAGATGAAGTCGTACAACGAGTGCAAAGGCTCTGCCCAAGACTTTAGGCGAAAGTCACATACAGCTCACTACTCTCATTGAAATTCTAGTTGAAAATTGTAGGGCATGGTATGATTCGGAAGGCAAATGTACAGCCCCGGAAGGTTGAAGGGCAAAAACCGGATACTGTATGAGAAGCATATGATACTCAGATAAGAGTTGAGGCATGTCTTTTTTTAGCTGGCACGTGTTAATATGTAAAGCTTTACGGACCGCAGTGTGTTCCAGAAGAAATTTGCTTTTACCTCAACAATCTGTATGACAGAGTGGGGCAATCTTGGACAATCCTGAGTCTACATTTTTTTTGCTTTACCTTTGCAAGGTGCGCTGCTTTTTGTACCATCCGCTTGTGTTTCTCGTCAGAACTGCACCGATACTTGCAACTGCCACTGCCAGTGCACTTGGCTATACTTACGACCTCTTAAACATACCCTTCCTTGCATGAGCCGGGGCACCTGCATATGCGTGTCGGCCCGGTAGCCCCCAGCTGTACTCACCACTCTTTGACCCTCTGCTCCTCAACATTGTTCTTTCTATATAATTGACCCAAACTGATGAACAGTTAAGGTACGCAGAATTGTAAGGAACATGTCGCCGTGCTGCAGAGATACAGTACACTTATGGGTAAATTTCATGGAAAACCCTTTGCTGTATCTAAACCACTGTCAGGCCTAAAGCAAGATAAGCGCTTACTCGACAGACGTACAAGATTGCCTCATACGAGCTTTAATCGGAAGCTATCTCTAGAGTCGTGAAGGGCTGAATGGGACAAGATGGAAATTTTTGCCTGTTTTATGATGCATGCACAACTGAGCAGCGCAGATACACATCTCGACACTCTATTGTCGACAAGGTGAATTTCAGGCTTTTCAGGGCTGTCGCTACAAAGTATCTCCCTGATCGTCAACGCAACTATTCCGCTTGTACCGATTGGACTGTCACATGCATCGCGCATAGGCATCGCGGCATTCCTCACATGAAATATGTCTACGGAAAGCGCATACCGATTTTTGGGAGAGCTGTCCAAGTGAATCAACGACAATTTTAACATGTTCATGGGTTCACACCGTTTTGAGTATACCTGCAAGACCTCTTGCGAGGCAGCTGGGACACCTGCACCTGTTTCCTGGCATGCAATTGCACAAATTGCGCATCTGCGCATGGCCGCTACTCTTGAGGTGCCAGACGAATCTTGTCCCAGTCATTCTTACACTCTTTAGAGATGCCCCATTGCACCTACTTTTCCAGCGGCGAATCTTTAAAAGCAGCGACGCCGAACGAAGGGCCAATCCATTGCGCCAAAGCAAGGCAAGAGACAAAGGGATGCATCAGCAAGATTCTCTTCTATCACTTTCCCGGATAGCGCAGACCTCTTCCCTCCCGTTCAACAACTTCATGAGCTCCGGGCTTGTTGAAATTCGCTCTGGCGCAGGCTCTCCCGTGGCGCGCGGCGATGTCGTTACGGTGGAATACACAGTGACCTCGAGCGGTTATCTCGACACAGGCGGGGTGCTAGTTGCTTTGGGAAAGATTATGACGTACGTATACACAGACGGCTTTCTGTTTTGAACTCCAAGCATTTGCACATGCACTGTGCTGTCTAACCTTGCACACAAGCGAATGTGAATGGTCTGGTGGTTGATAGATTTCCCTACGGCTCGCCATCAATAAGCCGTAGGTTTCAAGACGCGTTGATAGGTATGAAGCAGGGAGGACATCGTCGATTTAAGGTGACGTACAAGCCAGGGGATCACCCACCGGCGCCCGGGGGTGTGGGGAAAGGGCATCCTACTTACTATTCGCTGCAGATGGTAAGGATTTCTAAGCACTAAGGGGATGTGATCTGCAAGAGAGCATTAACTCGTATGTTAGAGTTGCTATAGATGAAGAACTTAAACTGTTAACCATGGCATGAAGGCATGAAGATGTTTGCAGAGTTAGTTTGGATCGCCCGGTGGAGATGTTTAATTAGTGCTCATGACGGTGCTGTACAGTGTGCATTGCTGTGCAAAGTGTGTCGACGAGGTCCACAATTTCCTAGCGTCGGCGGCGGCGTAGATTGCAAAAATATTCTGTAAATCACCACTTCGCCCGCTTTGGTACGAATCGATCTTAAGACGCTTTTCGGAGACGATTACTCCCAGACTTCACAAAGGTGACAACTGCATCCAGGCCTATTGCCCATCCCTCCGACCTTCGATGGCTCCCGTCCCAAAAGGAAAGCACGGAAAACGGCGTGGCAAGCCTGGCCCCCCGCGTGCTGCGCTACGTGCGGCTGCTGCCGCAGCGGCGTCGTCCGCGGATGCTCTATCCACGTCGCCCTCAACGGGGAAGCGTCGCGCGGAGCGCGACGCCGTCGACGCACGCGAGGAGCTCGACACAGAGCTGGTGTTCGAAGACCCGTATGGAGATGAGTTTGACGACGAGAACAAGTCCGCTGTCGATGACTCCGCCCCGCCGATAGTAGACCCGATGGTGGCGAACGATGCCGTCGTGTTCCGCCCAGGGAAGGACCGTGTGGCGGATGGGGAAAAGCTTGTGTGTGACGAAAGTGCGTATGATGTGTTTCATAAGTGTATGGTGGAATGGCCAGCACTCTCGTTTGACTTTGTGTGTATGGATGGAGGGGGCATGTATAGCAACATGGAGCCGGCAGTGATGGATACGTACCCGATGAGCGTTACTTTAGTTATGGGAACGCAGGCAGAACATGCGAATAAGAATAAGCTCGTGTGCGTGAAGATGAGTAATATGCATCGCACGCGGGGTCGCAAGGGCAAGGGGATTAAGACAACGAGGGAGCACGACTCGGATAGCGAGTCCTCGGACGAAGAAGATGAGGAAGAGGACGAAGATGGCATGCCAAGAGCGAGTCCGGATAAGAACGCCATCTTGCAGAGCTTTGATATCCGCATGGATTCTACACTGAATCGCGTCCGCGCCATGCCCCAGCGTGCGAATATTGTCGCCACGTGGTCTGAGTCCGGGCGCGTATCGCTAGTGGATGTGGAGCCCGCCCTTAACAAGTTAAACTTGGACAGCAAGCGACGCATGGGCATGCCGAACACCACGGCGCCGTCCGCTACCAAGCCGTTTTTCGCGTTCAATGGGCATCGAGCGGAGGGGTACAGTTTGGACTGGAGCCGAGCAGCTCTAGGGCGCTTGCTATCTGGAGCAGTCAACGGCACGATTTACCTGACGGAGCCTTCCTCCGTGGAAGGCGCGGCCTGGACGACTTCCCCGAATCGCTTCCGCGGCCATACAGACTCTGTTGAGGATATCCAATGGTCACCGAACGAGCCTAATGTGTTCGCAAGCTGTAGCGCGGATAAGTCAATCAAATTCTGGGATGTGAGGGAGTACAGGAAGCCTGCTCTCAGCGTGAGCATGGCGCACAGCACGGATGTCAATGTGATTTCTTGGAACCGCAACGAGACTCATCTCGTCGTCAGCGGCGGCGACGACGGGTCCATTCGTGTGTGGGATCTGCGAACACTGGACAAAGACGGCAATAACGAGTCTGCCAAGCCGGCGGCTGAATTTGTACATCACCAAAAGGCGATTACGTCGATACAGTGGCATCCCAAGGATTCTTCCATGCTCTGTGCGAGCTCGGAGGACGGGAGCGTGTCGATATGGGATCTTGCTGTTGAGCGGGATGCAGAGGAGGAGTTGCGCGAAGGGGTTGTCCTGACAGGAGCAGAAGACTTTCCGCCCCAACTTCTCTTTATCCATATGGGTCAGACCAATGTCAAGGATGCGCAATGGCATCCGGCGTGTCCTTCGCTCATTGTGAGCACGGCTCAAGACGGGTTAAACATGTTTCAGCCATCGAATATCACGCTGCCGACCTAACTGTCAAAGAAATTGCGGCCCGCCATATCGCAAACCCCACTTGCTCGCTAACACTATCTCCTTACATGCTTTGCGAGTACCGATTATCTAAGCACTACCCCCTCCCCTTTATCCCCTCTCCTTTATCCCCTGCCCCCGCCCTCTGCCACAGATCTGCACAGCTCAAGTAAGAATAAACAAGCCGATATCAAAAATAGCTTTACACCGAAACCCATCAGTCACCGTCCAAAGCGCTTTGGGGCCTTGGCTGCGTCGGCGACTATGCCTAGAAAGTTGCGGGCGTCCACCGCGGCAACGGTCTCGTGGAAAAAGCGGAGCTGCGTTAGCCTGAGCTGCCACACCGGAAAG